AAAGCTTACACGTTTACTTGCTCGTATCTGATTGGCCAATGCAGGACCTTGCATCTTTTGCCAGATGACCCGGCGTTTGTGTGGTGTAGCTCTCTGCGTCAGCAACCCTACTGTGCCAAAAGCAGTGGATTAATTGAAAGAATTGGGGGTTGACTTTTATTACGCAGTGCTGTTGTCTATCTGATGATGGCCTAACAACCCTGTGCACACTATAGCAACCGCAGGCAAATGTGATGTTTCTTTCCATTGCAAATCTGCATTTTTGCCACCAGCAAAACAACAAAAAGCCACAAAGGGGTGTCAATTTCAGCCGCAGATGCATTTTACTCGCACTTTATACACACATAACTGTGACCTGTAGAGTATTTTTAAGCTTCAAATCTTCCATTTTCTTCCATTTTAACTACAAAATGAGTGTTTGGGGCTCTAGGTGCTTCATTGAAGCTGCTGCTGCTGCTGCTGCTGCTCTGCTGATGTGCTACTCATGCTACACACCATGTAGACACTGCACATTCATGCATCACAGACGGACAAGGTTATCTGTAACAGGCCAATCATTATGTAAACCTTTAAGCATATCTTACTTCTGATATGACCCACTGCTTGACCCCTGCTTCTGCTTCCTTTTATGTCTGGATTCTGTCCACTGACTTCACCTTCCACTTTCAACACCACGCTGCCAGCCACAAATAATCCCAGCTAAACTTGACCCATTTATGCTTTCAATTTCCCTTACAGATAAAAAAAACATTTCATGCATCTGGGGCTACTTGATAGACAGCCTCTCTCAAAACACAGCTCAGTATATATATATAGTACATATTAATTTTCTGATTGATGTAAATAATTATGATTATGAAAATTATGATTAATTCATTTAAATGTTACCAATAGATTCAAATCTATTTAAAATGATAAATGTGCCTCAACTCACATTTTTCAAACTACCTCTGTTTGCAGATGACGCCATTAATAGGTATGTTCTCATTAGCGTATAATCACCTAAAAATATGAATCTTCGTTACCTTAGAATGAGACATTCTTATCTACAGAGGGAGTGGGTCCTCTTCCACGGAGGGTGTCATATTGAACCACCATGTTTCTACAGTAGCCCAAAGTGGACAAACCAACAGTGGCTCTAGAAAGGGCTTTTGCATTTTTTGCAAGTTTGGCGGCCACCGTACTTTCTCCTACATGCCCTGAAGGCAAGCGATATTCAGTTGAATGCAATCTACACCTTTACCACTAGATGCCCCTTAATCCTACACACTGGTCCTTTAAGCAGCACTGCGTGTATATAAGAGAAATATTATATTGTGATATTTTTCTGAATTTCCAAGATATAACAGTTTCTAACTTTGAGAACATACAAGGTGCAGATCATTCCAATTAAACACATAGACTCTTCTCCTAACAATCACTAATGTCCATATATACATATTTATTATTATTATTATTATTATTATTATCTGAAGGGGTTTTGTCTTTTGAGTTTAAATTACATCAATGTGATGTCATTTTTAAGACTTTCTTTGGAGTGAAATTGGTATTCTTTATTCTTTATCCAAATATAGTCTAATACTGTCTCAATGTGAACTTTTATGTTCACTGAATAAAAACAAAAAAGACAAATTATCATAAATTAACTGTCTCAGGGTGTTAAAACACTTTTTGAGATGCAATTCTCTACAGGGAAATAAATCTCACAACAATAAATCTGTTTTGATTTATGCTCAATTTTACCTTTAAATCTGACTGGTATCTCTCATCATATCATGGCAGTGAAAGAAAGTATTAAATCATGTTATCAGTGCTCTTGCCTCCAGGTCGGACAATGGAAAACCCATCAAACTTTCTTTAATATAGTATTTTCTAATTGACAGATTAGGGTCAGGTGTGGCCCACCATTTTGTTAGTAAAAGGATATGGTTTGCAGCTTACTGTCACAGAACAGCTGTATAAAGATGGCTGCTTATTTAATTATTGTTACTTAAAGGAATAGTTTGCCATTTGAAATATGCTTATTTACTTTTTTCAGTACCACGCTCATGTCTGTATGGTTACTATGAAGGTTGAAAATAGCTTAGCTTAGCACAAGGACTGGAAACAGGAGGAAACAGCTAATTAATATGTTATGTTTTGCTTATTTAATCCATACAAATACCAGAGTGACTTGGAGGTGACTTCCTGTAAACTCCACTGGTTGCCTGGCAATGACAAGGAAGCCACTGCTCACAGCCAAGAAATAGTCCCACACGTAACACCCAGTAAAACCAAAAACAGTTGAAAAAACACTCCCATTTTTGGATTAAACAAACATGTTCATCAGTGAGCTATAGAGTGGACATATTCAGGCTAGCTGTTTCCTACTGTTTCCAGTCTTTAAGCTAAGCTAAGCTAACCGGCTGCTTTAACAGACTGCAACCTCTTTAGCACAGTGACTTATTAGGACCTTGAACACTTTCCTCAGACAACAGCCTGTCAATGCTGCAATGCAAGTATATAACTAAGCATTTATGACATTAAAACTGCATAATTATAATCATAATAATAATAATAATAATTGTGTTGTCTTTATCATGAGCAAAAGGAGATGTAAAATGAGTCACAGTTTGATGCACCATACTGGGTTCAGACAGGGACACTGTAATAGAAGAAGTAGACCAGCTCTCATTTGTAATTACTAGCAGACTACGTTGTGATTTGTGACTCTCTGGTGCAGCCTGTAAGCCTATTCAGAAGTAAATCACCTTCAGTGCAGTGCCGATACCAGACAGCACCTTTGAGTCGATATTATTAAGCCACATCTGTGCCTTCATAAAATGGAGAATTTCGGCTTTAAACAATAGCACCCATGAGAGGTTCTCTGTTCCTAAATCAAACGTGTTTCACTGCACGATTAGAGGAAGTTTACACGTTGTGCTTCGCTTGAACATGACTGTCATCACAGGAGGAGCCAGACCTGTGAGCAGACCAGTTTTGACTGGGTATGTGGGGTCATTGGGATCAGTTACCAGGCGACAGCTTGGCACATGTCTCCCTCATCTGGACACGAGTGGAAAAGCAAGGTTAAGTAAGTACATGGGTCAATACAGGGTGCTCAGAAAAATAAGAACAAAAGGGATATTGTGCAGTTTGTTGCTCCAGGAATGACTAGTTTATGGGCCACTAAGATCAGCACTAGGCGAACCTTGCAGCCAGTATGTGCTCAGTGCATCACACACAGCACAGTGACCGTATCCATGTGCAATGTGAAATTCAGCATATGAATCCCATGCATGCAGCAGTGGGCTCTATCAATTCAAGAGTGCATTTTATCTGACGCGCAATGCATTATTTAGTTACTTTTCCATCTTGAGGGCTGAGACGGTCACACCCCTCTCTGGAGAACTCAAATGGGACTGCTTGCTATGATACAATGCACACATTTCCCCCCTCAGCAGCGGGGACGTTATGTGCAATTTGCTCGTTGTTTTTAATCACACAAATGAGCCTCACAGATGTCAAAATACAGGCCGAAACCCAACCAGCCATATCAATCAAGCCATCTTTGTCATGGCCAATCAATCTGGACACTAGCATTTGTATCACAGACATGTGAGTGATCCTGTCTCCACATATCACGCATGCGAGCCAGGCCATTTCAAGGCAATTGTTGTTTCCCTGATACGATTTTAACCAGGGCTGAACTTTCACGTGACATATGAGATATGCAGCCATTTGTTAGAATGAAATAGCCCCACAGTTCATACAAAAAAAATGTCATGCGATTGCAAAAAGCAGCACCAAGCGCACACGGACACAGCAGAAATCATATGCTGTGTGCGGCACAAGATATATTGCACTTCAACTCACCTTGAGCGGCCGTTCCTCTGGTGCTGAATACACTTGCTATCAGAGTGGCCACATACCAAATCATAGTACTATTGCCGACCAGCTATTACCACGCAAAGTGCCCCGTTCAACCAATCTCTCATATTCGACCTTGCACCTCACGGTCTCTTAGCAAAAGCCCCTTTTCATATCCTATTTTCTTTCCTCGTGGCGTTTCCCTTCATCCCTTCATCCCTCCCCCGTCCTTCCATCCGCATCCTCTCTCCCGAAGAGACAGAGCACCTGCACCGCCGCGTTCGTAGTAGACGGAGCCGTTTTACGAGCGCATAGTGAAACCAAGTGTGAGAATGCAGCCACAGGTCCGCCTCTCCAGTCATCGGATTGGCTGCTGATTGAGGCTTTGGGGCGTGTATTGGTTCTCCGTACGGCCCCGCACCCGAATGACAGGAGAGCGGCCGTGCGCCGATTCAAGGTGAGTTGGAGCGTGCCATAGTAGTGGAACCGCAGTATCATGCGCATTGACAGAGAGACGCGTCCACATCTTTAAATACCTCTCCTAAACCGGCCCCACGTGCACCATCACCGCACATCATCCATTCACCCACACGGCCAACCTTTTCTTTCTTTTTTTTTTTGTTGCACCACTGTTCGTCATATCAATATTGGCACCATGCTGAAGGCAGGTTTACTTTATGTGCAATGAGGGTTGGGAAAAAAGGGGATGGTGGTGGTGGAGGGGGGCGCGCTTCATGACTCATCTGTCGCTCACCCATAGCCCTCGGCTGTTGTCATGTCGCTGTCACCGACATAAAACCTGCTCTTTTTCTACCGTCTGGCTTTATGTGATGGGTGTGGCGACAGATACAATACAGTTCGCCTGTTTTGTTTTCCTCGACGGCCGCGAGTGCGTGGATGCAGCTCCATCACGCTGCCCACTGCGCACACATGGTTACCGCTGATAAGGCTGCCTCCGATTCACTCCCTCTGTTTTCTACATGCATGACCACAAGAGGAATCATAACGCCCCGTGCGCCTCTGGCTGCTCGACATCAGCTCGGATCTCTGCTCCACACACCAGCTGCTGTGTGTTGCTGGGCGATAATAAACATATAGGTGATCCGTCATGTGGGAGGGAGGCTAGTTTCAGGGCCATATTTTGCAATTCTTCAGCAGAATTTGTCAAATATTTGGTCTCGGCGTTTGTGTCTGTCTGTCTGTCTGTCTCCCCTCCCTCCCCTCCCTTCCTTCCTTTTTTTAGAGACTGTCATATTCCTGTCTGAAATCAAAGAACATCTAAAAAGGTTCCTAAAAATCAGATTCAAAGAGAATCTTTCCCCTGCAGACCCTTTTAGGTCCTGCAGTAAAATCCTGCTGAGTAATATTTTCACAATACATTTCTATCACTATTTTGCAGCCAGCTCAGTTTTGACAGTCCTGAATACAGTCTGGTCTTACTGATCTTTAGCCTTACACCACAACCCTAACCTATGTCATATAATGTTTAAGATCTTAAAAACTTGCAACTTTGCTTGCTTGTGCTCTCATATCAAGGCATTACATCCGGCCTTTGCATGTTAAATAAAGAACAGCTTCAGTGCTCCTTGACCTATAATCTGAAACTCTACTGAAGGGGTGAACACCATTCTTTCAAAAGACATTCCCTCATCGGTTGTTTTGGGAATGGTGCTGTCTAACGTGTCACTCCAAAAGGCCATAACATGTAATTCACATCATTTTCATACTCCTTAGCCTACTCAGTGACCCCCCTATTGCGCACTGTACAGAAGCTCAAGCCATAAACGGTTGGGAAGAACTTCTCTAAAACAAAACCAGCTCCATACACAATAAAGTAATGATCAGATTAGGATGAGGTAGCATCTGGGCAATGCTACTCAGCTCTGTGAGCTCCTCCCTCCCAGCTGGGCCACATACAGTCCTGTACATGTTTCAGTGTGTAAGATGGGAGATCCAGTGTTGGAAGCTTAAGAGAATTTAAACTGAAACACCTCCTCTAACAAATGTGCCTGCAAGAGAGCAACGTGACTATTGCTGGAGCTTTACTCTGCTGAAGACTCAGTGGCATATACAACTGAAGCTATGAGTCATAAGTTATGGATCCTAATTATCAATAGCTGTGTGGCAGGAAGTTCTCTTGTAGCTGTGTGACTAAACAGAAAATTATATAACTCCACGAGAGGGCTGCATGGAAGAATTGTTACTGTCAATGACCAAGCCATTTTGAAGGTGGAGCATCCATCAGATTCTCACAATTACTGTCAGGGGAGGTGTACAATAGTGTGCTGTGACTGCTGCATGGCAAAACAAGGTCACATTACCTACACACCCCTCCAACCCTCACCTAAAGTTACAGAAGTGCTGACACAACACCAGAACATACAGCAGGCCGTACAGCAGGCATATACCTTCAGTAGCATTGCTAAGTATAAAGTCTGTTTCCACGGCGACACACACATGACATAATGGCATTTGCATCATAAGACCACAGGAGATTGTTTTTTCTTTTTTTGGGTCCATATTTGATTTCCTACAAGCCAGGGCAGAGAAAAGATAAGAACAGTTAAGATAATCTCTTATGCAACCAAACCATTAGTTTTGCAGCTCTGTTCGGGGAGACTGGGGATGGTTGTGTTGCCAAAGGGCAGCGAGGGAACATGAAATGTTTCTAAATATTGTTTAGTGCAGCGGACACCAGTGGCGCTGCCTAGAAAAACAACTTCAGGATTATTTTCGGCAAAAAATGCTCATATCACTTTGTTACATGCATGATTCATCAGATTCCTCTTTTATTGAGTTTCATGTGCATGTTTGAACTCACAGCCTCTCAGCAATCAGAGAAAGGATTTATCCCATTACAGTAATGGTCATTATGTCCACTCCACTCTTTTCAAAGCTGTTACAAGGATTCACTGAAAAAAGCTCCATGGATCTGAAACAAGAGAAATAAGAGTTTGATTGCTTTGGCTCTTATTTTCTTGGCTGTACAGTACATAACAGTCAGGGTCTTCTTTTAAGCAGCATTAAAGAAAACCATACAGAATGTTTCTTTTCTGCTGGAGCGAGGTAACAGTGCTCAAAATTAAGGATGTCTCATTGTCAGTATATTGTAACTTATTCCTATGCATGCTGCTCAAAGTAATTGCAGTCCACAGCTCTTCTGCCAACAGCGCCGTAGTCTCTTCCTCTTCTTTTGCACCATGCAGTCAGTAGGTGTGGCCTGTGGGGCTGGTTTGATCCTCTCTCTCTGTAACAGATCTCTGGATTAGGGTGTTTAACTTGTACATCAGTAAATACTTCTCCCTCCCTTAAAAACAAAACAAAATTTGACTTCAAATATACAATGTCTTTGTAGTGAGTCTGTGATCAGTTGGTGTGTCTATGTAAATTTCCATCAACATAAACCAATCAGAAACAGGTTTCTATTTGCACTGCAGTTTGCAGCGATGCATTAACCGATCAGTTACAAATTAAGAAACTCAACTAATGAATAAAGAATAATGAAATGGTATTGTGGCCAAACACGTAAGTGAATTTTGCATTCAGATATAATTGCAGGGAACAACTGGCAGAACTTCCATGGTAGACCACAGTCAAAAAAGTTCCTTTCAAACCCTGCAAGGTAAGATCAGAACCTGAGTCTGCTGTCTTTCAGGTGCCCTGACAAAAATAATGGAATGAAAAATTAATACATATTTGTCCTCAAGTGCAGCACATTGGTTTATTTTTAGGGTCATTGTCCAGTGGGATCTCTGCGGTCTGTCACTGCTGTGAGCAGGCAGCTTTTTGATGTCTTTTTGATTAGTCAAGGTCTTATTCTGTCCACTACAGCAGAACAATAGATCAAAAACTGAAAAAAGAATACAATTATGCTATTCCTGATCTATAATGTTCAACCAAAACCAAAGTGAATTCTTGCACTGTCCTTTTTTCCCATGTTGTGTAAATCTGTACATTGGTGTTACTAAGCAAAGACCCTTACGCCTTAACAGACTCAGATGCTTTAGTGACAGAGACATATGGATGTGTACACTGAGGGCCCCATTCAGCATCAGTCAGTCAGCCTGCAGCTGACTAACCTGCCTGCACCAAACAAGATGTTGTGCACGCCAGCTGCTGAACAGATGTTCTGTTGCATGTCTGTTTATGGTGTTTTACAAGCTCTGTATGTCCTTATAGTCTCACACTGCTTCTGAGTATAATTTACACTTTTGACCAGTAGTGGTCAGCAGTGTTTTACACAAGAGACTACCCTCACTTTTCAGTTGTTTTATTTGTTTATGTGTATTTAAATGTTAACATTTGGCAATGATTTGGACCAAATGAGATGTGGGATTACTATGCCTCTTAACCTAATTCAGTTTATCTTTGATTTCATTAGAAATTAACCTCAGACAAACAAGTCATTGTCTCATCAATTTCAGCAGATGAGAAGAATAATATGTTTGAATAATCAAGACAAAGTCTTTTTCGAAAAAATTACCCTCATTGTGTACATAAACATTTCAGCAATACAGTATAATGAATGAAATGAGTCTTTAATTGTAATCAAGTGAGATTTTTGGACTATATTATACTACTTTATTGTGTACTATAATGTACTTTTAGATAAATCATTACATTTGCAGATTAACTGCTGTGGCTGTAAATTCGCTTTTTAATTGTGAATATTAGAGCTAAAATGATGCGTCCACTGTCATTTTTCAAGCAAAAATGTCAAAATATTTGCTGGTTCTAGCTGTTCAAATGTGAGGATTGTGACATTTATCACCATTTCCTGACATTTCATAGACAACATAATAAAGAAATGAAAATAATCAGAAGATTAATTGATAATGAAAACTTATCAGTTGCAACCCTCATTGCATGAGATAAATCACTGTTTGATAGTAAATACACTAATGTTTTTGATGAGGTGGTTGTAAATTAGACTAAGTACTGAGACAACAAAATTAAGTTTAGCATTCAACCAGAAGTCCAAAGCCGTGTGATATACAAAATAAACAGTAAGGTAGATATAATAATGATAAGATATACAGTATGAACAGTTACAGTAGTAAAAAAAAAATCCTCATATGAAGTTGTACTGTCAGCAGTAACTGTAATAACAGTATCTAATTTGACTGATTTCAGTCCTTTTGCTTCACGGAATAATATACAACTTTTGGAAGTAGCCTAATAGTCTGTGCAATAAAGACGTATGCCTCTCATTAAAGCATCTCTTGTAGTGCTTCATAATAATTGAATCATAGCCTCAAAAGCAC